TCGGAAAAGCGATCCGCCAATCGACTAACAACTGGGTTCCTACTTACTGCCAATAAACAGAGGCGTGTGGAGTAAGGAAACTTTCCCAACATTTCACCCTGCTGAGAATCGAACCCAGGTCTCTCGCTTACGAGGCAAGTGCTCTAACCACTGAGCTACAGGACCCCACAAAACCCTGTTTACCCTGAAAGCCAAAGTCCTTGAAGGGGATTGTGGCCCTCACTGGACAAGCAATAGAAAAGATTGCCAGACAGTGCTCTTAGTTGCGAGCTATACTGTTTTCGCTGATAAAACTCCGGCAGTTACCCCAATACACACTCTGGGTTCACCAAGCCTTGGCCCAAGCCCAAGTTCATTGCCTAATACACTCCAGAATTAGATAAACATGGTGCGTACCTCATGGGAGAGAGTACACATTCCATTCCAGACACCAAACTGGAATTAAAAAATCTAATTAAACTGCCAGAACAGCTCAATGGACTGAATGGCCTCTTCTTGATCATGGTTTCCTATATTCCGAAATTGAACTGAACAGATAATAAGAATAATCCTTGTATTTGATACAGCGTCTTGTCATATCGTTAAGACATTTCAAAGCGCTTCACAGGGTATACTGTAAAGTGAATTGACTGTATTTTGTGGGCAACATGTGGCAGCCAATTTACACACGGCAATGTCCAACAAATAGCCATGAAGTGAGTGACCAATTTTATTTGGGAGATTATTGTCTAGGACACTGGGAGAGAGAAACTCTCTTTTTAAATTGTGCCGTGGGATCTTTAACATCCACCTGAACAGGCAGACGGGACCTCAGTTTATCGTCTCATCCGAAGGATGGTTGGTCTTGGTTGGTATATTTAGAAAAAAAATGTTGGGAGTTAACTAAACCGATACAAGGCAGTAGAATTTACATTTACGTAGAGCCTTTCACATCGGGAAGCCCTCTCAAATTGCTGGTTTAGCGTCGCTGCAAGACCCCTGCGGGTTTGAAGAAGCGCAAATCTCCCAGACGTTCGCCCTTGTGATTTACTCATTGTACCATATTTTAATAACCGATTTCTTATCACTTATCACTGTGATTATTACTTATCACAAGTATCTTATCACAGTAAACCACGAGGGAAAATGACTTGGAGACCTGTGTCTAATTCCTGTCATGATCAATTGCAAAAGGAATTGCTCTCACTGAGTCTCTGATATAATGGATTCTTATTGGTTAGAGCACTCGCCTCGCAAACGAGAGGACCCAAGTTCGATTCCCGGTCAGGGCAAAACACCTTAGGTAAGATTCCTTATTCCACACATCTCTGGCTATATAGCAGTAAGTAGGAACTCAGATGTTAGTTGATTGGCGGGGGTAATAATTCCTTTTTTAAAAAAAATTCTAATTTGGTCACTCAATGCACGACTGTTTGTGGGACACTGCTGTGTGCAATTGGCTGTCATGTTTCACAAAATATACAGTCGATTCACTTTACAGTATATTCTGTGAAGCACTTTGAAATGTTTCAACAACGTGATAAGGCGCTATATCAAATGCAAGTATTATTATGATGATGTTGAGCAGAAATATAACTCATTCCAGAGGCCTGCACCTTTGTCTCATATAAATCAGCCAAATGTTCTTTTAGAAAATAAATATATATATATATATATTTTGACTCCAGGAGTGGACACGCACTCATTGTTTGGCTGCTTAACAAATGCTTAACTACCATGATTTCCAGACCTAAAGTTGTAATAATCATTGTTTTTGATGTAGTGTGCTGTCAGGTTGCTCAAACAAATCAAAGGGCTTCCAGGATTTACTGTAAAGTGAAACAACTGCATATTTGTGGGTAAACTCAGCAGCCAATTCACTCCCCACTGGCATGCATACACCTTCTTGCTCTGATCTAATTTTTCCTGGGGTATGGTTCCATGGGTCCCTCGAGCCTTATCTCTTCCCACCCGGCAGCCACACACACACACACAACACGCACGCATCCATAACAAGGATGAGGAGCGGGAACCATGGTTGGTTTTGCCCTGCTTAACCCTGGGAAGATTGGGGACAATTTCAGACCTTCTCCGAAGCTCCCACTTGTTGAAACCAACAAGTAACACAGAACTTAGGAGTTGATTCAGTCAGCACTGGAAAAAAAAAACAACTGGACACACTAAATTTACAAAAACAAATTTGCTACAGGCAGGGAACGAATATCGTTGGAAATTTCCATAAAAATTAAATATTATCCTTTATTCTAGATTCGAAATGACACCATTTAAAACCACTAAACAAGGCTTTACCCTGACTATATGCTTAGTAAGTTTCCCATCCAATCTTTGTTCAACAATACAAGGTACTCAGCACTATTGCAGATACTAATAGCGAGACACATAAAGGTGGCAGTTACAGGAGAAAAAGATGAAGTGTGTTTAATTCCTAAAATATTTTTGTGCGAATAGCTTATTGACTTTCTCTTATAATTTAGCTGTTGTTCGGTGGTAGAGCTGGATTTCTCGTGGCAATTGATAAGGGCATTTTCTAAAGTGTTTGATTAAGGTCAGACGTGAGCTCTGTACAGCATTTCTTTGCTGAGCGATGTAAATAAAGCTGATTATTATACACTGTATATAGCTCCAAATGACAATATAATGTTATATTGAAGTCCTGTAACTCAGTGGTTAGAGCGCTCGCTTTGTAAGCGAGAGACCTGGGTTCGATTCCCGGCAGGGTGAAATCTTGGGCAAGTTTCCTTACTCCTCATGCCTGATAATAATCCCTCAAACAATAATAAATTGGTCATTTTCAATCCACGACTATTTGCGCAATGCTGCTGTGCGCATTTGGCTGCTGCATTTCGCCCACAAATATAAACAGTCAATTCACTTTACAGTCTATTCTGTGAAGCGCTTTGAGAGGTCTAGAAGACATGAAAAGCGCTAATCAAATGCAAGGATTATTATAACAGCAACAACAATCCTTGCATTTGATATAGCGCCTGGTCAGGTCATCAAGACGTCTCCAAACACTTCAAAGAGTATACTGTAAAGTGAATGGACTGCATATTGTGGGCAAAACGTGGCAGCCAATTGTGCACAGCAGCATCACACAAACAATGACCATACTATTATTTTTTTTGTTGTTTTTACTTTTTTGCGGAAATTATTACCCATGCACAGCGATCTGCCAATCGACTAACAACCAGGATCTTATTTACTGCTAGGTAAACAGAGGCGTGTGGAGTAAGCAAACTTGCTTGAGGTTTTGCCTTGCCTTGGAACCAAATCCGGGTCTTCTCGCTTGCAAGGCGAGTGCTTTAACCAACACGCTACAGGACTTCATTGTGTGACCAAGCGAGCATTACAGAAACCACTTTATTAGAGAAAGGGGCATTGACTTTGAAATGCGACTTGTGTGTAAACATGTCAGCTTGTGTCTTTCGGTGCACTTGAGAGGAACAGGAATTGAGATAAATATTAAAGAGCAGCCTTCATTCAAGAATGGATTAATCCCTGCCAAGGAATATCAGAGGGACATTTAATAAAACATATTTGTGTTACAAATATTTTTTTGGAGTCATGTAGGAATATTAAAGCAACATGTGCATCAGAGGCAAAAGTGATGTGTATTGTAGCATTAGAATATTGTTGCTGGATATATAATAAATCTGACTGGGTGCCCCATTACGAATTGCCAGCCACAAAGCTTTGCTTTGCACACATTTATTTTTCAATCTGATCAAAACGCAGAGGAGGATGAAATGCCAAAGTAACAAACAGCTTAAATTAACCTAAATCATGTTTTGCCAAGGTTGCAAATTACTTTTTTCCTAGACAAATATTTATTGTAATTCAAATGTTGCATATGTATTAGTGTTTCACTGCCTCGCTACATTGATCAGCCCATTATGTTATAAGATGTCACGAGCTGTAACACCCAGCTTATTTTACAAATAATAATTCTTCCATTTGGTCCAATTGAGATATATCGCCTTTTGTCTCAGAAACAAAATTGATTCATTTATACATCTGAGCCAGTGTCTGTTTTATTCTTTGTAGTGTTTAAAAAAAATGTACCCAAATCAAAACGTCTCAAGCACTTCACACTATTTGCTGTTAAGCGAAGTGACTGTGCACCTTTTTAGGCAAAAACAGCAGCTATTGTTAGCAAACAATGTTTGGAACTGACAAACGAACTGACGTCATGTTTTAGATAGTACCATGGGTTCTGCGGAGTCCACCTGAACAACTGATGTAAATTGGAATCGGCACACACATATATAATGTGTGTGTGTGTCTCTCTCTCTCTCACTCTCTCTGTTCCTGTGTCTGTGTGTCAGCCTGGCTCAGTTGGTACAACTCTCACGTCCGAGTCAGAGGTTGTGGGATCAACTCCCTACATCGGGACCTTCCACGCGCAGTCTAGGTTGACGATCCATTACAGCTCTGGGGGAGCATTGAATTGTCAGTGGAGCTTGCCTTCAGGTGAAACATTGAACCGAGGTGCTATCTGCCTGTTGCAACAACAACCAATTAGATTGATTGTTCAGGTAGATGCTACAGACCACTATTCGAAGAGTGAGCAGTGTTCCATCCCTTTCGTAAAGTGGCTGCCGCATCTGTCTTCAAAACGGTCACTGCACTTAACAGCAGTTCGTGTCGAGGTACTTTAGAGACGCTTTGACATTGCACGTGCAACATTGAAAGCAAGAATACTTTAATATTATTAGATCATATATTATTTTATCTATATATTGATTTCAAGAGCCTCATAATCATCTTGAAATCCCTTCATGCCTGGCATCTACTCAAACCTCTGGAACATTTTTTATCTATCCTTCCACTTTGTCCCCTCCTGAAGACATCCCTCTTTGACCGTGCCTACAGTCACCTTCTCCCCCCGGCTCGAGCTCAGGCTTTGCCACACTACGTGAGGCAGTTGTTGTTTGTTGTTATTCGTGTCCACGTCTCGCCTTGACACTTTTGCCCTCTTCCTCCCACCGCCCCCCCCTCAGGTGCGCGTGCCCTGCTGGATACACCGGCCGATTCTGCGAAAGCGACATCGATCACTGTGCCGGGAACGTTTGCTCGGAGCAGGGCACCTGCCGGGATGACGTGCACAATTACACTTGCCACTGTGCGGCCGGATACGAGGGGAGCCTGTGTGAAACGGAGACTAATGAATGCGCAAGCTCTCCCTGTGAACACGGAGCCAGCTGCATTGACTTAATTGGCCGCTTCACTTGCCGCTGTGCTGCAGGATTCACAGGTAGGCTGCTCAGCGAGACTTTACATCTGTACTTAACTCTTTCACCGACTGAACCCAATGCTTGGTTTGTGATGACTGATCCTCCAGACTACAATCTTTTCCCCCAATTTTTTTTTTATTCTCTCTTCAGCCTAGCTCAGTTGTTACCACTCTTGCCTCTGGGCCAGAAGGTTGGAGTTCAATGACAACAAACAAAAATAACATTTATGCAGCGCCTTTACAACAACAACAACAACAACAAGATTCCATTTATAGAGCGCCTTTCACGTCGGGAGGACGTCCCAAGGCGCTGGACAGTTAGGATTTGCACCCGAGCTGGGGATTGGAATCAAGAAGCATGGAGGGCAACGGGGTAGAAGGGTGGCCGAAGGCACGGGCATAGATGAAGATCTTGATACAGGCTTTGAAGGAGGCAAGGGACGGAGCGAGGTGGAGAGATTGTGGGATAGAGTTCCAGAGAGTGGGGGCAGAAATGCTCAACGCCTGACTGCCAATGGTGGGGAAGGTAGGTCGGGGGACATGGAGTTGGCACTGGCCTGCTTTATGTGCCCTTCCCTACACGTCCCGCCGTTGGTAGTCAGGCTTTCAGCTTATCTGCCTCCTGTCTCTGGAACTCCATCCCAGAGCCTCTATGGCTCATTCCTTTCTCACCTCGTTCAAGGTCAATCTCAAGCCTTGCTTTTTGACCGTGCCTTTAGTCATCTTTCCCCCCTCAGCTTCCACCCCCAATTTGTCAAAGACCGTCAAGCACCTTGGGACATCCTCGCGATCTGAAAGATGCTATGTAAATGTGTATATTATGTTTTTTCAGACTAATATTCTATGTGGTTTTGAGCTAGAGATACACAAGCGGGGAGGGAATTAGTTGTGGAGTGGAGTAGGGGAGAGGGGGATGAAAGGAGAGAAGAACAAGCTCATGAGGGTGGGGGAGAGGGGGAACAGAGAGGGAAAATTAGAAGAATGGGCCTTTTCCAGGCTTGGTGAGTACTAAAATCCTGCTTTGTTGATGCGAACATCCAAGCCACTTTCAAGAAGAGGAGGTTCATCAGCCATCCTGAAACTGGAATTCTTTTTGTCGATCGGTTTCTGAAGTCTCTTTCACACTGACTGGTTACAGTTGAGTTGGCAGGTGCAGCCAGCGCTGTATAAATGGGGCATGGGGGAAAGGTGGAGAGCTGCAATCCGTTAAGTGGGAACGCCATGACAGGAATGGAATTGTTCCATTCATCATGACGTATTCATTAAGCAAACTCCGGCAGTGCTGTGCTAAATGCTAAATGCACCGCCAGTCAACTGTGGGGCGAGATAATACTCCAATAAAGGAATGACCGCATTCATCACATTTCTATTAACTGCCGCACACTGTGCAATGCATGTCATTATATATATTTATTGCATATAAATACATCATATATATATATAGAGAGAGAGTGAGAGATGGGAGAGTGGGGAGGGAGAGAAATACATTGATCTCAAACAATAATAACGGGTAAAACACAAAGATTTGAAAATTGTTCTCTCGCCTGTTTTTTTGCGGTTGGCTGGTTGTCCTGGAAGGATGAGTTGAGATTGGATGAGCCCTCTTCATCCAAACTAATCTTGTGTTATTGTGTTATCATTATTATTTATTGTCACGGACATATTTTCGTTGGCCAGACATTTTGTCCAGGTTCCAACCAACGGTCAGGTCTGGGTTGGTTGCCAGAATTCACCAGCAGCAGCAAGAGTGATGCCTCTATTGTTTATTTATCTCATCCAGACTAGATTACACCAATCCTCTGCTGGCCAGACTACCCACCTCTTCTCTTCACAAGCTACAGACTATCCAGAACTCTGCAGCCCGTGTCCTTTTCCCGCACTAGGCCCTACAAACCTATCATCCCCATCCTCACCCGGCTACACCTGCACTCATCCCCCAGCGAATCGAGTTCAAGATCCTCGTCCTTGCTTTCAAACCCCTTTGTGGTCTCGCTCCACTTATACTTCCCATCATTGACTGTTGTACTTTCAGCACATCTGCCTCCACTCTCTGGAACTCAGTTCCCTTTGACTATGCCCTTCCCTTGACTCCTTCAAGGTGCCACTCAAGATCTTCTTCTTTGACCACACTTTTGACCTCTCCCTCCTTCCCCCCCCACCTTCTCCACTAGGTCAGCTCCGACTCTGAGCTCGGCTGCAAATTGTGTCCAGTGCCTTGGGACGTCCAGCATTTTGGGTTGTCCTCCCGATATGGAAGGCACTATAATATAACGTTGTTGTTATTAAGTCCACTTGTGTAGCCCAAACTCTTATTTGACTCTCAATAGCTCACACACATGTATAGATATATAAGGAATGAGCTAGATATCTAAAAAGGAGTAAACTCCAGGAATGGTGGGGATAAGGCACATATTTAGGACTTTAAAAGACTCTGCACAGAACAATAGCCTGAATGGCCTTCTTCTGGGCTGTAAGTTTCTATGTTTCTATCTATGGGTTTGAAAAAGTAAACCCAGACCAATAATTTAGAATCTCAAGAGGACACAGATTTAGAGTTGCAATGGGCATTTTGCAACGCAGCTTCAAAAACTGTAACTTACATGAACTCTTCATGTATGTGAAAATACCACAAAACACTTCACAGGGATAAAGTGGGAGCCCAGTATACTGAACAATAATCCCCAAATGAAATCCATCATTTACTGTTGTCTGCAGGACATTACACCAATTGTACCAATAGGCTGCCACCTTTGCCTTCAAAACACAGTCACTATACCTAACAATAAATCCAGTGAAGCCCTTTGAGACATTCTCTTGATGTGAAATGAACTGTATGTAATGCACAGATTAGAATTATTATAATAAAATCCCTTTTGATTTGAAAAAGAGCTCTTTATGGTGCTCTGAGATGCTACCTACAGAAGGGCACTACATAACTGCAAGTTATTGTTGTGTTGAAATGACGAGATGCAAAGCTAAGCAGAACAAAGAAGGACAAGTTTGCTGCAAAAGACGAGTGAGCTGAATCTGCAACATTAGTTTAGAAATGGAAAATTACTAGTTGTGATTGAATGCATTTGACAAGCATAGAATATACAGTTGGTTAATATACTGTTGGAAAGTATGCAAATTGGCTGGTGGCTGTGGTTACGATATTACATTAGGTAAAAATGGGTTTGTTACAATTCCTGCAGAATCATTTTCATTGAATTTCAGAGGCGCGGAATGAGTAACTTCGGGCTGACATCAGAATGTACATGCATCAGGTTAAACAGCATTAGCTCAGCCTCTTTATGCGCACAAGACTTTAACGGCTGGAACATTGAAAACATTTAGCCGTGTGACCTGACAACTCAAAAGTATCGGAAGCCGCAAATGGTTTGAAACAGCTCAGGCCGTAGAATCTTTGTGTTTATCATACCATATAATTTACGCCTGGAAATTTCATTTCATTTCCCTTTGCAAAGTCGTGCATTCGTATTTAAATCCCAATGTGAAAGGAGTAATATAAATGGAAATATATTGTATTCTTGTTATTTGAATGTAAGGTATATTTAAAGTAATGTGGTGCGTATTCTTTTCTGCCTACCTCTTCAATAATCTCTCGGTTTGTGCACTCAATCTCGAATCCGGGGGGCAGTGGGTGGGGGGTGGTCAACAGTGACTGGAGCCTCTCCCACTGTGGTTGCATACATGACAACTCGGAAACAAATCGTCCTTGCATTTTGGTACAGTGCATTAACACGACGTGCCTTCTGCACATCCCACGTCCCCTCCACTCCACCATCGGCAGCCGTTCTTTCAGTCACTACACCTCGAAACAATGGATCTCTCTGCTTCAATCCCACTCCCTCAACCCCCTATTTGCCTGTCTTAGTTTGCACCTGAAGACCTTCCTCTTTGACTATGCCTACGGTTACCACCCCAGCTCAGCATCAAGCTCCGCCACTGATGAGTGTGCAGACACTCTACCCAGTGTGAGGTGGATAAATGCAACTTTGGAGTCCTGTAGCTCAGTGGTTAGAGCACTCGCTTTGCAAGCGAGAGACCTGAGTTCAATTCCAGGCAGAGGGCGAAACCTTGGGCAAGTTTCCTTACTCCACACAGAGCCTAAAAATAATCCCTCCAAAACCAAAAACAATAATAAATTGGTCATTTTCAATCTACGACTGTTTGTGGGACATTGCTGTGCGCAATTGGCTGCCGCGTTCGCCCACAAACATACAGTCAATTCACTTTACAGTATGTTCTGTGAAGCGCTTTGGGACGTCCTCCCGACGTGAAAAGCGCTATATCAAATGCAAGGATTATTATTATTATTATAACTTGTTGTTGTCCGTTGTAATCGAGGCGTTTCGAAGCCCCTGACAGGAGTTTCCTGCGAAGTGTACTGACTGTGTTTTGCCGGCGAATGCAGTAGCCTATTGGCGGACAGCAACATCCTACAAACATCCATGAAGTAGGCAAATTAGCTGCCTGCCCTACAAAATATACGATCGCTTTACAGTAAATCCTGTGAGGTGCTTTGAGACGTCCACCTGGCGTGCAAGGAGCGAGATCAATTGCAAGGATTATTATTAATAATTATTTTACAAATCACACAGAGCTCTGATGTTGATAGCACTCATCCTATAATGCACAACACACACTCTTGCATACACAGACTGACTCACACACAGAGCGGCACATGATTAACAATGATACAGTATTTCAGAGCACATGACGTAAAGATAACATTCTTCACAGTAGTTTACCTCCTTTTCTCCAGATGCTGAAGGGTTCTGATTGGCTTTGATAAGTCTTCAGTCCCCAGACAGATTCTAATTTCATAAACGTGTCAGAAAACATGGTGTGCACTGCTCTCACAGCGTCAAGGCAGGCTGACAGGAGATTTCAAACTAATAGCTCACTATCAGCTACCTGAATGTTGATTTGGCATGTGTGCAGCACAAACAGCAAAAGCAATGAATATTTTTTTAACCTGCTGTATGTATATCTCCAAGTGAAAATACAGAGAGAGA